GGGCGGGGCTAAACAGACAGTGATGTAGAATTGGTGGGCGGGGCTAAACAGATGGCGATGTAGAATTGGTGGGCGGGGCTAAACAGACGGCGATGTAGAATAGGTGGGCGGGGCTAAACATAGTAGCGCCAACTGTGAGGAATGTAGGCTGTCAATCATACACAACTATTAGCCAATCACAGCAGTGATAGAAGCAGGGGCTAAACAGACAGTGATGTAGAATTGGTGGGCGGGGCTAAACAGATGGCGATGTAGAATTGGTGGGCGGGGCTAAACAGACGGCGATGTAGAATAGGTGGGCGGGGCTAAACATAGTAGCGCCAACTGTGAGGAATGTAGGCTGTCAATCATACACAACTATTAGCCAATCACAGCAGTGATAGAAGCAGGCGCTGATCTTCTTCTGCGGAGGCGGAGCTTATCCACACTATTACATCATAGAGTTGAACATTGCACAAGCTGTCGTTTTGGCAGTTATAGACTAACAAGAAAGTTTTGAGTTCTGAAACGTACAGGTTTTTTATAATACAATGAACTCGTATATGACAAAAGATCAAGGGAATTTTGGTTTGTCAGTTCATGACCCCTTTAATGCTAATTTATTATCAGTGTTGGAAAAAGTTGTGCTGTTTAATATTTTTTTATATCCTGTGATATATATTACCCTTTTTTCAGGATTCCTTGATGATTGCCTTTTAAAAGAACAGCATTTATTTAAAATAGAAAAATAGAACTTTAGACTTTTTAAAACAGAAAATTCGGCTTTGCATCACAGAATAAATCTGTTACACAATAAAAGCACACAGGCACACCATAGTTCAGCTATCAGGATTAAATATGATTTTAACTACCCAGCTAACAGAGAACATTCTGGCAAGGTTCTCTCAAAGTCATAAACAAACAGTCTTCTAGTAACGTTAATAGAATGTTTGTTCAGGGTTATCTACTCTAATAATATTCTGACAGCATTAGCACAACAACATTGTGTAGATAGTTCATGGAGTGTTTGCTCTTAAACATTTTAGTTTGATGTTTGTTTATAGTTTTTTAAATGTTTCTAATTATCGTTTCAAAACATTCAACATTCCCCTAATGTTTGTAAAATGATTATACGGACAATTCCCTTATCATTCAAATTTTTAAAATGTAAAAAAAAAAAAAAAAACTAGATTTTGAAAGATCTAACATTCAGAAAATATGTTTTCATAACTTGATGGAATTTTAGCAAAACATTCCTAGAACATATTTTGGTTAGCTGGTAGGAGGAACCATTTTGTAGGGCAACTTCTCAAAATCAGGCCATGTTATCAAATGTTTTACTGTATATACAATTTAAAAAAAAATTCACATACAAAAATTGAAAGAAATGAGCAGTTAGCCCAGGTCTTCCTTCTACACAATATAAATGTGAACTTCATTTGGATGAGTGTAAAACATCTTTAATTATCGATCCTTTATGTAATTCGTGTTAAAGGTGCAGATGGACTATTTCAAGGTATACTCTGACAGATCTTTTGTTGTTGTCTCACATCATCTCTCTCAGAGAGCTGTGCACCTGAAGATGAAGATGAAGATGAAGGAATGTCCAGGACTCAATCAATGGAAATATTAGCAGAAATGCAGAAGACTGAGCCAGAATAGATCATGTTGCATTTCAGTGCAGCCTCATATAAATCCACACACTGTACATACTGTATATTCATCCTGTGGGTTTATCAGTGTATCTTTCAAATTTACTACCTTAAAATATACTATCAAAGGATATTATCTTCTGATTGCAGCCTTTTAAAGTCAAATATTTCATGACACAAGTGAAATTATAATGACACTTTGTGCAGATATGAAAAATAGAAAACGAACGACTCGCCAAAAAGCACCACGTATAGCTAAAGTTTCAGCCCTTCAGTGCAGCGTCCATAAAGAACACAGATGCGCTTCTGAATAGTTAATCATAACTAGTTATGGTTAATTATTCATATTTCCCCATGAGCTAATTCGCTACATGCATGATATTGAATTTAATGGTAGTAAATTTGAACAAAATATGAAAAAACAGTGTTTAAATGACTTAAAGTCTCCGTTAGTAGTATTAAAACTGTCCCTTTACGCTGTCACAAAAAACAAACCCTTGTTTTCTCTGTAGCAGTGCTTTTATATTAGGGACACTTCAGTGACATCTAGCTACTAATTATTGCAACGGAAATGCTGCTATCTTTTATATGTATTGTTATTTGCACTTATCATAGCACTAAAAAATGCTGCTTTTTCACTTGGTGGCGCTATTTGCATTATATTGTATTATTTTATGTTAATTTTTATAGCTGTTACTCAAGCTAATGTTAAACAATGTTTTTAGGGCAAATTCTCAAAATAACACTGTGTTATCATGTTTTACTGAATATGTGATTGCATACGATTTATAGCGTTTTGGTCAAAACATTGGTTTGTTTACAGTTTTTTTTAGCTTTGTGCTTTATAATTTTTAATAGTTTATATTGACCACATACAGTGTGGCAGCATGCTGCTATGAGACATGTGCTGTATATGTGTTCAGAGAGATGTTTACATTCTTATTTCCTGAGCCATGTTCAAAAGTTTTATTTGGGATGAAAATGTTGTGTTTTTATATAAATGAACAGAAATCCGCCCAGGTTTATAGTGTCGTTTTTCACTGTATAAAAATGGCAAATACTTTTTAAGCTTGTACCTGCAATTGATTGATGTTTGTTGTGTTTTCATCAGTATAGTGCAGAATAAAAACATGGAAAATAAAAGAGAGTAAAGCAGTTTTAACTTCATGTCATTGGAAAAGAGCAGAATAAAAGCCATTGTACTGTAATTTTTGGTGATGTTTTGTAGCTGTAATATGAGAAATGGAAAAAGCTGCTTCACTGGGAAATGCGCCAGCACACGACAGAAAATAGGGTTTGTCAGATCACTTCATGAGGTCTTTAACTGCTGTCCTCTGCTTCTGACATGACTGAACTGTAAGTAGAGCTTCTCACAGACACCTCATCTCCACTCACTGCGAAACATAGCAGAAAGTAGTTTTTGTTTTAGAACAACACAGTGGGGCAATCTGTGCATTTAACCATTTATAGTAAATTATATTAACATGCCATTACAGCCACAAAAAAGTCAGGTGAGCAAAATTTCTCAAAACATTTCCAATATGTATAAAAGCAGGTTTCAGTCATATAATTACTCATTTAAAAACGTTTTGATGCTTGCATAGATAAAAAACAACAACAAAGATACTCACGTAATGGTGTCGGTACTCCCATGTGTTCACAGCTGTTCTCGAGATGTGAGTCGTCCTCAAAGCTGAAAGCTGAATCTGATCGGGACCCAAATGAACTGGAGGCAGACTTCTCGACTCCTCTCACTGGAAAAATAAAGTGAATAAGAACAGTGCATCATATCAATGTTATGCTTAAGTATTCCTGGTATGGGCCGTTCTGATCTGGTCCTTTCAATAACAATATCACAAACCACAGCATTTCGGTATCATCAGTCCAGAGGGGACGAGACTTAACACAGATGTTAATTTGACTTAAACACAATGTTTAAATATCATGCATTATGTTTTCATATTTTTTTATGATTGTGGTGTTTTCTATGGCTTAGGTTTTCAGAATTGCATGAAGAACAAGATTGCAAATAAAAGTGCATGAAACGGCTGAAAACACATCTCTTCCATGTTATTCTATTTTATCAACTTTTTTCTATCTTATAAAAAAACACTTGACCCTCTAACACTTGCATTCTCTGTTCTATTTATATTCTAACTTCTTGTTTTCTTTAAAAAGGGGAAAAAGAGCTTCTAACACTGTCATTCTCTTTTCTTCTTTTATTCTTTTGACGTGTTTTATTTTTATTTTAGAAAATGACCTTTAAGTCTAGCATTCCCTGTTCATTTTCTATTCTATCTGCTTGTTTTTTTTTTAATTTATTATTATTTACTATGTGTACTGCGTTAAGCTAACCGAGACTTGTTATAGCACTTGTGTATCATTGCTCTCTTCTTGATTTTGATTGCTTCTATCATCCACCTTCGTAAGTCGCTTTGGATAAAAGTATCTGCTAAATAACTAAATAAAAAATTTAAATGTACTGAAAGCACATAAGTGCATAAATAAAAGTGTGACACTAATGGGAACAAGTGGTTATGATGGTAAGTTTCTCGTTGTTTCTCATTCACGATTTGCTTCATCTGCGCTGTGCAGAACCTGGACTCACTCATCTGTGATCTGATGTCATCTCTCTGTTTTTTCATCCTCTCCATTCGTTAATTTGCTCTCTTTTCCTCTGCTCTTCTTCTCTCTTTCATCTCCTGTAAAATCTTTCCGTCCATTTCAAAATGGGAGCCTCTGTTTTGTGCCACTGTCTCCTCAATCTTCTCCAGCAGCTCCTTGACCTGAGTGTCGTCACTCCTGTCCTTAAAGTTGAGAACATGATACCTGTTCCCACATTTGTCCAGCAGCCACTGGAGATCCTGTCCTTCGCTCTCAATGTGCTGCTCTATAGACGTGTCTAACAGATCGTCTCCATGAATGAACAGCACTATAGTGTGACTCCAGACTCCCTCACCGAGAAGCTCCAGATGACCCTGCACTGTTTTCCTCTGAGCGCCTGTGAATCGCATGTCCACGCGTATGAGCAGTAGTACAGCGTGTGGTCCTGGAGGACACAGAGACACACTGAGCACAATCTCCTGTTTCAGTAACTCTGGACTGGTGTCTACTGTGTAATCCCTCCACCATCCTGGAACTTCAATCTGTCTGCTACTTCTCCGTGTCTCCTCACACACTGAGCACATCTCTTCACGTCAAACTCCTCGCTGCCCAGGATGATGTTTCCTGCAATACTCTTGCCTGTATTTCTAGGAGCCATTAACAGAATCCTCACCTCTGAGAGACAGAGCATGTCACCTGCAGCACATAGACAGAAAAACACACTTATTAAGGTGGCTGACATCTGAAGTATTAAAGGGGTCATATGATGCGATTTGAAGTGTTCCTTTCTCTTTGGAGTGTTACAAGCTCTTGGTGCATAAAGAAGATCTGTAAAGTTGCAAAGACTAAAGTCTCAAATCCAAAGAGATATTCTTTATAAAAGTTAAGAGTCAGCCACGCCTACCTAAAACGGCTCGTTCTAACACACCCCCACATGTCTACGTCACTATGTGGAAATATTAGCATAATGCCGCCCAAATGT